AAGCGTGCCACCGATATTCAAATTGCGGGTAAAGTCGCAGTCGTAGCCGGATACGGTGATGTCGGTAAAGGTTGTTCAACTGCCCTTCGTGGAATGGGTGCCCGCGTGATTATCACCGAAATTGATCCCATCAACGCCCTTCAAGCCGCAATGGAAGGTAAATCTTTTATTCTGTTAAATTATATATATATATATGTATATATTCTGGTTAGCTTCATGTTCAAATATCATATAGGTTATGAGATTACTACCATGGAAGAAGCATGTTCAAGAGGAAATATTTTCGTTACCTGCACGGGAAATCGAGATATCATCATAGGCGAACATTTTGCACAGATGAAAGACGATTCTATCGTGTGCAAGTAAGTATCTATTTTCATTATACCCATTATATAAATAATTATTGATTTTCTATACATATATATATATATATATATATATATATTAGTATTGGGCACTTTGATATTGAAATTGACGTTGCCTGGCTCAAGAAGAACGCAGTATCTCATGTCAATATTAAGCCTCAGGTCGATCGTTATACCCTGAGTAATGGAAGAAGCATAATTCTTCTTGCTGATGGAAGATTAGTCAACCTTGGATGTGCTACGGGACACCCAAGTTTTGTGATGAGCAATTCTTTCACAAACCAAGTATTAGCTCAAATAGCACTTTGGACTGATACGACCAATAGGTATCCATTAGGTGTTCATGTGTTACCAAAGAAACTTGACGAAGAAGTTGCCGCAGCTCATCTTGAGAAATTGGGTGTTAAGCTCACAAAGCTTACTCCTGTTCAAGCTGAATACCTCGGAATAAGTTCTGATGGTCCTTTCAAACCAGAACATTATCGGTATATATGTTTTTTTTTATTGTCAGAATACTTTTGTTCTAATGAAGATTACTAACTACAAAAATTTTTTACAGCTATTGAGAATAGCTACTTCATGCACGTTATAAAAATACAATGGAAATTTTTATAAATAATTTATTGTATAGTCCGTAGTGAATTATAATGAGCTCCTAATCCATACATGTAACGGTGAAATCTAGA